CAGGATCAGCCAGATCCGTCAGTCGGCCATGAGCAGCCAGATCCGTCAGCCAGCCATGAGCAGCCAGATCCGTCAGCCAGCCATGAGCAGCCAGATCCGTCAGCCAGCCATGAGCAGCCAGATCCGTCAGCCAGCCATGAGCAGCCAGATCCGTCAGCCAGCCATGAGCAGCCAGATCCGTCAGCCAGCCATGAGCAGCCAGATCCGTCAGCCAGCCATGAGCAGCCAGATCCGTCAGCCAGCCATGAGCAGCCAGATCCGTCAGCCAGCCATGAGCAGCCAGATCCGTCAGCCAGCCATGAGCCGTCCAGCCGGGATCCGCCAGAGCCGTCCAGCCGGGATCCGCCAGAGCCGTCCAGCCGGGATCCGCCAGAGCCGTCCAGCCGGGATCCGCCAGAGCCGTCCAGCCGGGATCCGCCAGAGCCGTCCCGCCGGGATCCGCCAGAGCCGTCCAGCCGGGATCCGCCAGAGCCGTCCAGCCGGGATCCGCCAGAGCCGTCCAGCCGGGATCCGCCAGAGCCGTCCAGCCGGGATCCGCCAGAGCCGTCCAGCCGGGATCCGCCAGAGCCGTCCAGCCAGGATCCGCCAGAGCCGTCTAGCCAGGATCCGCCAGAGCCAGCCAGCCAGGATCCGCCATTTAGTCCGGTGCTGCCCCTTAGCTCGGTGTTGCTCCTTATCCTGGTGCTGTCCCTTATCCTGGTGCTGCCCCTTAGTCCGGTGCTGCCCCTTAGCTCGGTGCTGCTCCTTAGTCCGGTGATGCCCCTTAGTCCGGTGCTGCCTCTTAGTCTGGTGCTGCCCCTTAATCCAGTGGGGTTAGGATGTAGGGTGGTCGATTGGAGGAGGCTACTTAAGTGGGTAATGACTATGGTGGGGTGGGGATCACGACCAGTGCCAGAGCCGCCTCCGTGGAGTAACACCCACCCAGCCCTCCCCATTTTTTGGGTTAGGCGCGGTCGGAGTCCGCGCCTTTGGGGGGGGGTACTGTCACACTCTGGCTCCGGGACTGTGTGTTAGAGCCAGGGTGTATTTCATTTGGTGGTGTTGGGTATGGGTGAGTTTCATTTGTTTGTGTTTTTGGTATTGGTCTGGTGACTCCCAATCGGAGGTAACGAGTGTCAGCTGTCGGCTCGTTATCTCTGATTGGGAGCCATATTTATACTGTGTGTTTTTCACCTTGTGTTTGTGGGTTTTTGTTCCTGTTGTTCCTGTGTTTCAGTGTTCCGTGTTTTTGTCACTGAGGACGTTACGATCGTGTTTTTTTTCATTTTCGTGTGTGCGCTTTATTAAAATAAAGTATGTACGCTTATCACGCTGCGCCTTGGTCCGCTCATTTCGAAGACGATCGTGACAGTTCCTACATTTAAAATGTACTGTAACTTTGCCTGTTCCTGATTACAGGCATCCACTAGGTGCTGCTATCATGCCTTCTTAAATCTATTTAAAATACATTTTCTTCAACACCAAAATGTCTCTAACAGACCAAGAGGGAAGACAACTGTTTATCAAGTGCCACACTGTTTTGTTCATTTGTGCCCTTAAAAACCAAACCCAGAATCAAACTGAAAACACATTTGAAACCCTTAGACATGCCTTCTCGTCCTTCATTTTAAAATGTTAAGTATCAAAGAAAATGTCAACAAAGTGGAATTTCATAGTGTTTTTATTAACACCATAATTTGCCAAGAGCAAGATGAGTTATGGTATGCTTAGATAAGTTCATGAAGTGCCAAATGAGAAGAAATAGCTATACAAGGTACAATAAAAAAAATATTCATAAATCATAAGGAGTTATCCTTAGGCATTAGATAAACATGTATGAAGAGAGCTGTACAAGGCAAGACATTAAAAAAATACCAAGAAGAATTATGCAAATATAATCAGGTAAATGTGCATATGAAGAGAACTGTACAAGACAAAAAAAACACAGATCAAGAGTTATGCTTGGATAATAAGGTAGAGCTGACAGCGAGCTTTACAAGGCACAAAATAATAACTATTTAAAAACACAAAGTATTAGGCCCCGAGCCTAGATACCACATAAATGAACATATTTGGAGCACAGAGTTAGTCTGCCTGACTGGAACTCATATACTATCCTTGGCAGAATATCTGTGAAATAGAATGCCTTCAGTTTAGGGATAACATCAGCACAGAACTTCACATCAAAAGGCACATCAATAACAACATGCTCGGATGGAGCGCAGACAGCAGTTTGCATCTCTCCAGTCCTGTGCAGAACATGCCCATTTGCACCTGCATGTAGTACCCACGGGCTCCATTAGGTGGCAGCTGAGGAACCCCATCCACCAGCTTCACATCGGTGAGTTTGCCAGAGAACAGTTCAGTCAGAGACTCACACTTCTTACTCAGAACAGGACATTTGATTTCTAGAAGTTCTTGAGAGTTTAACACTCGATCTGGGCTTGCAGAAAGCCATGGCTTCTTGACACTCACTACTGTGCCTCTACTCTCCAGACTAAACCTACAGCTCTCCATCCATGTGTAGGCCACCTGCTTGTTCTCCTTGCCATGTGGTTGCTGAGTTCCCATGGAACCTGGGGAAGAGATGCTCCCTCACAAAGTTGTGAGGATTTTTTGAGGTGCGCACCGGAACCTTCTTTGCTGAGCTAGCAGTGATCCGAAGTTTACGTGCGTCATACGACACATAGAAGGCACTCTGCTTTAGTGACCTTCTCCAAGCTGGCACATTTACACTCCCCCTGCTTAACATAAAAGTCATAAAATGACAAGCATTTCCGACACTGCATGTTGATGATTGCTCATCTGTACAGGACACCCCTGTCAATCCTCCATACACAGCATTCTGCACCTTCAACAAAAAACTACAGTTAGAATAGTCAATTACAGTACAGAACAAATCAAATCAAATCAAATCAAATCACATGAAAATATATACTCAAATATTTACAAAGATGTGAGGGGTGTACTCACTTTTGTGAGATACTCTACACTGAGATCATGTGACAGATCATGTGACACTTAGATTGCACACAGGTGGACTTTATTTAACTAATTATGTGACTTCTGAAGGTAATTGGTTGCACCAGATCTTATTTAGGGGCGTCATAGCAAAGGGGGTGAATACATATGCACGCACCACTTTTCCGTTATTTATTTTTTTGACGTTTAAAAAAAAATAAAAAAAAATAAATTCACTTCACCAATTTGGACTATTTTGTGTATGTCCATTACATGAAATCCAAATAAAAATCAATTTAAATTACAGGTAGTAATGCAACAAAATAGAAAAAACGCCAAGGGGGTTTAATACTTTTGCAAGGCATTGTAGTCAGGAAGGTACAGGAAGCAATTGATGAGGTAGAGTGGTGGGCATTAATGTGAGGATTCAGGTTCTTTGTAGAGAACTCAAACAGTGTTCTTTACCAGGAGGCAGGTGGGAGATGAGGTATACTTGAGGTTATATGGGAGAAACTTGGAGAGGGTGGGGGCCTTCAGGTTCCTTGGGGTATACTTTGATACTAGACTGACCTGGGCAGAACACATTGAGAGAGTGGTGGGAAAGTGTAAGAAGGTGCTACATGTGATGCGGTGTCTGACGGGGAAGGAGTGGGGGGCTGGGCGTTCTTCATTGAGGACCATGTATGTTGCATTGATCCAATCTGTAATAGACTATGGCAGTATAGCGTATGGTTCGGAAGCCCGGACCTCATTGGAAAGGCTAGATGTCATACAGGGGCAAGGACTCAGAATATGTAGTGGAGCGTTCCGGACGTCCCCAGTGGCTGCATTACAGGTGGAGATGGGGGATATGCAATTGCATATTAGGAGACAGCAGCTGGCAATGAATTATTGGGTCAACCTACAAGGACATGGGCTGTCTCATCCTGCGAAAGGGATTTTACAGGCATGCTGAGCGAAGACAGAACACAAGCTTTGGTTGTGTAATACCCAGGCGAAGGAGATGGGACTGTATGGAAGGGAGTTTAGTCCAACGGTAGCTATTCCTGTAAATCCACCATGGCTACTCCCGCCTCCAGTAGTTGATCTAGAAGTGTTGGAGAGACTACAGACATATAGGGAGAGTGTTGATCCATCTGATTTGTTTAAGAGACGTCTGGATACTGTGTATTAGGATTTTGTGGCCATTTACACAGATGGTTCAAAAGATCCAAGTACAGGACGTACTGGGTCAGCATTTGTAGTGCAGGAATGTGGGGTGGAAGTCAGGAAACGTATTACAGATCATCTGTGGTCCTCTGTAGCTCAGCTGGTAGAGCATGGCGCTTGTAACGCCAAGGTAGTGGGTTCGATCCCCGGGACCACCCATACAAAAAAATGTATGCACGCATGACTGTAAGTCGCTTTGGATAAAAGCGTCTGCTAAATGGCATATTATTATTATCTGGCTGTATATATGGCAGAGCTGATGGCCATACTGTTGGCCTTGCAGTGGGTGGAGGAAGTCAAACCAGACAGAGTAGTTATTTGCTCTGATTCATGTGCAGTGTTAATGAGTCTCCAGTCCTTTAGCTCACGTAGCACACAAGACCTGCTTTATGAGGTGCTACAAACCCATGGCAGGATTAGACAGATGGGTATACAGATAAGATTTACTTCGGTCCTAGCCCATGTGGGGGTGGAGGAGAACGAGGCAGTTGATGTACTGGCTAAACAAGCACTTAGTAGTGGGGATGTTGATGTTGTAGTTTCAATGAGCAAGGCAGAGGCAAAAAGCCTGAAGTTGTCTATAGCTTTTCTGGTGAGACAGTGCCATCTAGTGTTGTAGCCTAGAAATGACGCTATGACTCACAATGACAGAAATGAAAGTGGATACAACCACCGTAAGATTCGATTCCCAGGGATGACACTGAACACACTGAACCGGTTGTTTCACCCATTATAAAACGTGTTGAGACGTACAATCTCCTGTATCGGAGAAAAGGGACATCCGCAGTGGGTATCAGAGAGCAGAACATCTTGCTGTTTATTTCAGTTTCATCACTAAATAATAATACACCATGAATAACACGCTGAACCAACATTATGAGGAGAAGGTGCGTCCCTGTATAGACCTTATCGACTCCCTGCGCTCGCTTGGTGTGGAGAAGGACCTTGCGCTGCCTGCCATCGCCGTGATAGGGGACCAGAGTTCTGGAAAGAGCTCAGTGCTGGAGGCGCTGTCTGGGGTGGCTTTGCCAAGGGGGAGTGGTGAGTGATAATTCATGAAACTGAAATGACAAATATTTATCATCTATCAAAGTCTCAGAGAGGTTGAATAAGTGAGCCTATATTGATTTGATTATCATTTGATCTCTAATTTGTTATGTTAAAGGGAAGTTCACACCGATTCATTCCAGGGTTTTTATAATTTTTTTACTATTTTCTACATTGTAGAATAATAGTGAAGACATCAAAACGATGAAATAACACATATGGAATCATGTAGTAAACAAAAAAGTGTTAAACAAATATATATTTTATAGTTGAGATTCTTCAAAGTAGCCACCCTTTGCCTTGATGACAGCTTTACACAATCTTGGCATTCTCTCAACCAGCTTCATGAGGTAGTCTCCTGGAATACTTTTCAATTAACAGGTGTGCCTTGTTAAAAGTTAATTTGTGGAATTTATTTCCTTAATGCGTTTGAGCCAATCAGTTGTGTTGTGACAAGGTAGGGGTGGTATACAGAAGATAGCCCTATTTGGTAGACGACCAAGTCCATATTATGGCAAGGACAGCTCAAATAAGCAAAGAGAAATGACAGTCCATCATTACTTTAAGACATGAAGGTCAGTCAATCTGTTTTCTAACATGCTTTAGACACATTTTCATAATGCATTGTGGTCAATGATTGATGACTCAGCAAAATGTGTCTACCAATTTTCTCTAAAACAAGATGTCAAATGCATTGGGGGATCAACTACAAGTACAGAGAGATGGAATATTGCACAATTTCATTTTATCGTACTGGACATTTTTGTATATGGGCTGTTTTTCTCTGGGTTTCATTTATTCTCTTTCACTCTAACTCCTCCTCTGTCAACTCTGACAGGTATTGTAACACGATGCCCTCTCGAGCTGAAGATGAAGAGGAAGAGAGAAGGAGAGGAATGGCATGGAAAAATCAGCTACCAAGACCATGAGGAGGAGATTGAGGACCCCTCTGATGTGGAGAAGAAAATTCGAAAAGGTGGGTGCGGTCACTCTCATTGACCCACTCTCATTACCTCAAGTGTCTAAACTGAGTCACTATTCTTCACTAACATACTATTTTTATCTATACCTAAAATCATTCAAAATATATCATTAACTGTTGGTACAGTTAATTATTTCTAAGGCACCTGTATTCTTGTTCCCCCCTCCAGCCCAGGATGAAATGGCAGGCGTGGGGGTGGGTATCAGTGATGACCTCATCAGCCTGGAGATTGGCTCCCCTGATGTCCCAGACCTCACACTCATCGACCTGCCAGGCATCGCCCGGGTAGCTGTCAAGGGTCAACCTGAGAACATTGGTGAACAGGTACACCACTCCACCCCACCCTCAATGTTAGTGGGAAAACACTGTGCATTTTTAACCCCAGTCTTAGAACAGAAACCAAGTCCCCCCACGACATGTTATGTATAATAATATTTGACATTTTCAGATTAAGAGACTGATACGGAAGTTCATCACAAAGCAAGAAACAATTAGCTTGGTGGTTGTGCCATGCAACGTTGACATAGCAACCACAGAGGCTTTGAAGATGGCACAAGAGGTGGACCCTGAAGGAGAAAGGACATTAGGTAATCCACCCTTTAATATTTACTCAACTATTATGAAGCAAGCTCTTGTGTAATGGTGGTTATAAACCATGTTTGTCAAGGCCGGGCGTAGGTGTGGTGTGGAATCAATTGCAGGATGCAGATGCATGTCCAAAAACACTTTAATAAAGTCCACAGAAACAACGGCTATAAACAGAGCCGGTTGAACAAGGGAAAAATAAACACACTCAGCGTAAAAGTACAACAAACGCACAACGTGCGGACTCTCTAATAACATAGAGCACAAACTGACTGGCAACACCTGCTGACATAGAACAACTACACACAACCACAAGACAGAAACAACGAGAACTTAAAGGACACATAATCAAGACGAAATGAGCAACAGGTGTAACAAATCAGACCAAACCAAACACACACAGACACAACGAACGATGGCAGCTAGTACTCCGGGGACGACGACCGCCGAAGCCTGCCCGAACAAGGAGAAGGAGCAGCCTCGGCCGAAACTGTGACAGTACCCCCCCCTTGACGCGCGGCTCCAGCCGTGCGCCGACCCCGGCCTCGGGGACGACCAGGAGGACGCGGAGCAGGGCGCGTGGGATGACCACGATGGAACTCAGTCAGAAGAGACGGGTCTAAGATATCTCTCCTCGGCACCCAGCACCGCTCCTCCGGACCGTACCCCTCCCACTCCACGAGATATTGGAGACCCCCCATCCGGCGTCTCGAATCCAGGATGGACCGAACTGTGTACGCCGGAGCCCCCTCGATGTCTCTGCTATCTCACACTCCTGGAGTGGACCAGCTACCACCGGCCTGAGGAGAGACACATGGAACGAGGGGTTAATATTCTTATACTCAATAGGAAGTTGTAATCTGTAACACACCTTGTTCAACCTCCTCAGGACTTTAAAAGGCCCCACAAACCGCCGACCCAGCTTCCGGCAGGGCAGGCGGAGGGGCAGGTTTCTGGTCAAGAGCCAGACTCGATCTCCCGGTGCGTACACCGGTCCCTCACTGCGGTGGAGATTGGCGCTCGCCTTGTGTCGACGGATGGCCCGCTGCAGATGTACGTGAGCAGCGTTCCACATCTCCTCCGAGCGCCGCACCCACTCATCCACCGCAGGGGCCTCGATCTGGCTCTCATGCCAAGGTGCCAGAACCGGCTGGTACCCTAACACACACTGGAAAGGGGTTAGTTTAGTGGAGGAGTGGCGGAGAGAGTTCTGTGCCATCTCGGCCCAGGGAACATATCTCGCCCACGCCTCCGGCCGGCCCTGGCAATACGACCTCAGAAACCTACCCACATCCTGGTTTACTCATTCAACCTGCCCATTGCTCTCCGGGTGGTACCCCGAGGTAAGGCTCACCGAGACCCCCAAGCGCTCCATGAACGCTCTCCAGACTCGAGAGATAAACTGGGGGCCTCGATCAGACACTATATCCTCGGGTACCCCGTAATGCCGGAAGACGTGAGTGAATAGTGCCTCAGCGGTCTGTAGGGCAATGGGAAGACCCGGCATGGGAAGGAGACGACAGGCCTTCGAGAACCGATCCACAACGACCAGGATGGTGGTATTTCCCTGGGAGAGGGGAAGATCAGTAACGAAATCCACCGAGAGGTGAGACCAGGGTCGTTGTGGAACGGGCAGGGGTTGTAACTTACCCCTGGCCAAATGTCTGGGTGCCTTACACTGGGCACATACCGAACAGGAGGAAACATAAACCCTCACATCCTTGGCTAACGTTGGCCACCAGTACTTAGTGCTAAGGCAGTGCACCGTCCGGCCAATCCCTGGATGTCCAGAGGAGGGTGACGTGTGAGCCCAATATATAAGTCGATCCCGAACCTCGAACGGCACGTACGTCCGACCCACAGGACACTGTGGAGGGCTAGGATCGGTACGCAACACCACCGGTGCCACCAGGCAAGATGGCGGGAGTATGGGCGTGGGCTCAACGGACCTCTCCTCCGTGTCATACCGCCGGGACAGAGCATCTGCCTTACCATTCTGGGACCCAGGGATGTACGTGATCTTAAAAACGAACCGGGCCAGAAACATATTCCACCTAGCCTGGCGAGGGTTCAGTCTCCTAGCTGCCCGGATGTACTCCAGGTTTCGGTGGTCTGTCAAAATGAGGAAAGGGTGTTGAGCTCCCTCTAGCCAATGCCTCCACACCTTTAGGGCCTGGACCACGGCTAGCAGCTCCCTGTCCCCCACGTCATAATTTCGCTCCGCCGGACTGAGCTTTTTAGAGTAAAAAGCACAGGGGCGGAGTTTCAGGGGCGTGCCAGATCGTTGCGAGAGCACGGCCCCTATACCGGCTTCAGACGCATCTACCTCGACCTGGAATGGGAGTGCGGGATCCGGATGCGTCAACACCGGCGCCGAGGTAAACAGGTCCTTCAGTCTCCCAAAAGCCCTATCCGCCTCAGCAGACCACTGCAAGCGCACCGGACCTCCCTTTAGTAGAGACGTTATGGGAGCTGCCACCTGTCCAAAACCCCGGCTAAACCTCCTGTAGTAATTCGCAAAACCCAAGAACCGCTGCACCTCTTTAACAGTAGTTGGAGTTTGCCAATTACGCACGGCCGACACACGGTCAACCTCCATCTTAACCCCTGACGCAGATAACTGATAACCCAAAAAGGAGACAGAATCCTGGAAAAACAGACATTTCTCTGCCTTGACATACAGATCATGCTCCAACAATCTCCTCAATACTCGGCGCACCAGGGCTACATGCTCGGCTCGGGTAGAAGAATACACTAGAATGTCGTCAATGTACACGACCACTCCCTGCCCCTGCATATCCCGGAAGATCTCATCAACGAAGGATTGGAAGACTGAAGGAGAATTCATTAACCCGTATGGCATGACGAGATACTCGTAATGACCCAAGGTGGTACTAAATGCTGTCTTCCATTCGTCTCCCTCCCTAATACGCACCAAGTTGTATGCGCTCCTGAGATCCAATTTTGTGAAGAAACGCGCCCTGTGTAAAGACTCCGTCATAGTCGCAATCAGAGGGAGTGGATAACTGTATTTCACAGTAATCTGATTGAGACTGCGGTAATCAATACACGGGCGCAAACCTCCATCCTTTTTCTTCACAAAAAAGAAACTCGAGGACGCAGGGGAAGTGGAGGGCCGTATGTATCCCTGTCTCAGAGACTCGGCTATGTAAGTCTCCATAGCTCTCTTCTCCTCTTGAGACAGAGGATACACATGGCTCCGCGGAAGCGCAGCTCCTACCTGGAGGTCTATCGCACAATCCCCCTGTCTATGTGGTGGCAATTGCGTCGCCTTCGCTTTACTAAACACAATTGCTAAATCATCATACTCGGGGGGAATGTGCAATGCCGGCAGTTGGTTTGGACTTTCCACCGAGGTCGCCCCTACGGAAACGCCCAGACATCGCCCTACACACTGGACAGACCAGTCCTTGAGAGCCCTCTGTTGCCACGAAATAGAGGGATTATGAGTAATCAACCAGGGAAGCCCCAGCACCACCGGATACGCAGGAGAGTCTATAAGATATAGCTGAATAGTCTCCTCATGACCCTCCTGCGTCCCCATCCTAAGTGGAGCTGTGACCTCCCTAATCAACCCCGATCCCAACGGACGGCTATCTAAAGCATGTACAGGGAAGGGACTACTGACTGGAAGGAGGGGAATCCCTAACTCAGCACAAAATCGCCGATCTATAAAATTCCCAGCTGCGACTGAATCTACTAGCGCCTTATGCTGGGAATGAGGTGCAACCTGTGGGAAGCAAACAGGTATGGTTAGGTGATCAACAGAGAGCTCTGGGTAAGTGGGGCGCCTACTCAGCTGGAGGGACTCCCCAGAGCGTGGCCTGCCGTCTCTCCCCCTAGGAGACCCCCCCCAGCACCTGGCCGCAGTGTGTCCTCCACGGCCACAGTAGGTACAGGGGTTGGTTCCCCTGGGGCTCCTTCTCCTCTCCTCTCTAGCGCAAGCACCCCCGAGCTCCATAGGACTAGGCTCGGAGGTGCTGGAGGGTGGAATGGACGACCCCCACTCAGGACGTCCGCGGGTGGCCAACAGGGTGTCGAGGCGAATGGCCATGTCAACTAACTGGTCAAACGTGAGGGTGGTGTCCCTGCAGGCCAACTCACGACGGACGTCCTCCCGTAGGCTGCAGCGGAAGTGGTCTATGAGGGCCCGCTCATTCCACCCTGCGTCTGCCGCTAGAGTCCGGAACTCCAGTGCAAAATCCTGTGCGCTCCTCTTCCCCTGTCGGACGTAGAATAGACGTTCTCCTGCCGCCTTCCCCTCAGGTGGATGGTCGAATACAGCCCTGAAGCGACGGGAGAACTCTGCATAGGTGATCGTCGCGGGGTCTATTCTCCTCCATTCGGCGTTGGCCCACTCCAACGCCTTGCCGGTGAGACAGGAGATGAGGGTGGAAACGCTCTCGTGTCCCGAGGGCACCGGGTGTACGGTGTCGAGGTAGAGTTCTACTTGTAGGAGGAAACCTTGACACCCGGCAGCGGTACCATCATACGCCCTCGGGAGCGAGAGCCGAATCCCACTGGGTTCCGGAGCGTGGACTAAGGGACTGACCGGTGCTGGTGGTACTGTGGAAGGAGGCGTGGGTGCCCAACTGGTCTCCAGACGATGCAGGGTATTCATTACTCCTTGTAATGCGATGGTGATCTGGGCTATCCTGTCATCCTGTCCGCGGACGCGCTCCTCCAATGACTCGGTCGCTGCTGCTGCTCCTGCTGATTCCATGGATGGTGTGTAGTTCTGTCAAGGCCAGGCGTAGGTGTGGTGTGGAATCAATTGCAGGATGCAGATGCAAGTCCAAAAACACTTTAATAAAGTCCACAGAAACAACGGCTATAAACCGAGCCGGTTGAACAAGGGAAAAATAAACGCACTCAGTGTAAAAGTACAACAAACGCACAACGTGCCGACTCTCTAATAACATAGAGCACAAACTGACTGGCAACACCTGCTGACATAGAACAACTACACACAACCACAAGACAGAAACAGGTGTAACAAATCAGACCAAACCAAACACACACAGACACAACGAACGGTGGCAGCTAGTACTCCGGGGACGACGACCGCCGAAGCCTGCCCGAACAAGGAGAAGGAGCAGCCTCGGCCGAAACCGTGACAATGTTGACTTGTGTTGACTTTAATGAATTAGACTTGATGTGTGTTTCCCATTGGACAGGCATCCTGACCAAGCCTGACCTGGTAGACAAAGGCACAGAGGAGACGGTGGTGGACATAGTTCATAATGAGGTTATCCACCTGACTAAGGGCTACATGATAGTCAAGTGCAGAGGCCAGAAGGAGATCATGGAGCGAGTCTCACTGACCGAGGCCACAGAGAGGGAGAAGGCTTTCTTCACAGAGCACGCTAATCTCAGGTCGGTCCTCTGGGTTGAAGTCTGCCTTAGATTTTAAAAGCTGTCTTGGAAAGCATGAAGCAAATTTGATCAAATGCCTATTTTTCAACACTCATAAAATGTGTTAGTTTTTAATTGAATTGTGTACCTGTGTGGTAACCAAACTATTTGCCATGTTGTGAAAAAAATGTATTTTTCAAACCTTTCTGCAGCACACTTTATGATGAGGGCTATGCCACTATCCCTAAACTGGCTGAAAAATTAACTCTTGAACTGGTGCATCATATCGAGGTAAATTCCTCTTCCATTACATTTCACTGCATAAAATCTTATACATTTGTTACTGAGTGACTGTTGCCATAAGCCATGACTCTGCGTTGTGCCGTTTAGAAATCCCTGCCTCGTCTAGAAGAGCAGATTGAGGCAAAGCTGGCAGAGACGCATGCCGAGCTGGAAAGATATGGTACTGGACCACCTGAGGACTGTGCAGACAGGATGTACTTCCTGATCGACGTGAGTCCCCCAGCCTGCAACCCACAGATGATTCAGTTACCCTCTCCTTCACGCCGCTCTGGCCATGACCCAAACTCACAACAGCCATGTTAGTCTTTGTTAGCAAAACTTGTCAATTCAGGAAAACATTTGAAAGTTGATTAAATCTTATCCATACAGTGAGGAAAAAAAGTATTTGATCCCCTGCTGATTTTGTAAGTTTGCCCACTGAAAAAGAAATGATCCGTCTATAATTTTAATGGTAGGTTTATTTGAACAGTGAGAGACAGAATAACAACAAAATAATCCAGAAAAACGCATGTCAAAAATGTTATAAATTGATTTGCATTTTATTGAGGGAAATAAGTATTTGACCCCTCTGCAAAACATTAGTACTTGGTGGCAAAACCCTTGTTGGCAATCACAGAGGTCAGACGTTTCTTGTAGTTGGCCACCAGGTTTGCACACATCTCAGGAGGGATTTTGTCCCACTCCTCTTTGCAGATCTTCTCCAAGTCATTAAGGTTTCGAGCCTGACGTTTGGCAACTCGAACCTTCAGCTCCCTCCAAAGATTTTCTATGGGATTAAGGTCTGGAGACTGGCTAGGCCACTCCAGGACCTTAATGTGCTTCTTCTTGAGCCACTCCTTTGTTGCCTTGGCCGTGTGTTTTGGGTCATTTTCATGCTGGAATACCCATCCACTACCCATTTTCAATGCCCTGTCTGAGGGAAGGAGGTTCTCACCCAAGATTTGACGGTACATGGCCCCGTCCATCGTCCCTTTGATGCGGTGAAGTTGTCCTGTCCCCTTAGCAGAAAAAAAACCCCAAAGCATAATGTTTCCACCTCCATGTTTGACGGTGGGGATGGTGTTCTTGGGGTCATAGGCAGCATTTCTCCTCCTCCAAACACGGCGAGTTGAGTTGATGCCAAAGAGCTCCATTTTGGTCTAATCTGACCACATAACTTTCACCCAGTTCTCCTCTGAATCATTCAGATGGTCATTGGCAAACTTCAGACGGGCATGTACATTTTTTTACATTTTACGTCATTTAGCAGACGCTCTTATCCAGAGCGACTTACAGTGAGTGCATACATCGGGAGTTGAGTGGCGCAGTGGTATATGTGGTTTCTTGAGCAGGGGGACCTTGCGGGCGCTGCAGGATTTCAGTCCTTCACGGCGTGGTGTGTTACCAATTGTTTTCTTGGTGACTATGGTCCCAGCTGCCTTGAGATCATTGACAAGATCCTCCCGTGTAGTTCTGGGCTGATTCCTCACCGTTCTCATGATCATTGCAACCCCACGAGGTGAGATCTTGCATGGAGCCCCAGGCCGAGGGAGATTGACAGTTATTTTGTGTTTCTTCCATTTGCGAATAATCGCACCAACTGTTGTCACCTTCTCACCAAGCTGCTTGGCGATTGTCTTGTAGCCCATTCCAGCCTTGTGTAGGTCTACAATCTTGTCCCTGACATCCTTGGAGAGCTCTTTGGTCTTGGCCATGGTGGAGAGTTTGGAATCTGATTGATTGATTACTTCTGTGGACAGGTGTCTTTTATACAGGTAACAAGCTGAGATTAGGAGCACTCCCTTTAAGAGTGTGCTCCTAATCTCAGCTCGTTACCTGTATATAAGACACCTGGGAGCCAGAAATCTTTCTGATTGAGAGGTGGTCAAATACTTATTTCCCTCATTAAAATGCAAATCAATTTATAACATTTTTGACATGCGTTTTTCTGGATATCTTTGTTGTTATTCTGTCTCTCACTGTTCAAATAAACCTACCATTAAAATGATAGACTGATCATTTCTTTGTCAGTGGGCAAACGTACAAAATCAGCAGGGGAACAAATACTTTTTTCCCTCACTGTAGCTGTTTCTCTTTACACATCTACCCTCCCATGTATCTAATAACGTATCTTTCTGTGTCTCAGAAAGTGACTGCGTTCACCCATGATGCCATCAACCTGACTGCTGGGGAGGAGCTGAAAAGCGTAGTTCGTCTCAACGTCTTCTACACACTCAGAAAAGAGTTTAGGAATTGGAAGTTACACCTGGATCGCTCTGGAGAAAACTGTGAGTTCACCTTTATCATGCACCGATGCAACCTTTAAAAAAAAGGCTAATTTCAGTGAGTTGGATAACAAAGAATTGCTATTTGAATTGAGATTGATTTTAATTTCACATGGAAGGCTCACACACTTGCTTATTTAGTGTAATGTAGTGACATCTTTTTTTATATTGCAGTTAACAAGAAGATTGAGAAAGAAGTGGCTGATTATGAGAAGACGTACCGTGGAAGGGAGCTCCCAGGGTTCATCAACTACAAGACCTTTGAGGTGATGGTGAAGGACCAGATCAAACAACTGGAGGAACCAGCAGTCAAGAAGCTGAAGGAGATATCAGGTACAATCTATATTTGAGAATGTTATTTTTTACCTATACTGAAACCCATTAAGTGATTTTATTTAATATGGTGGCCCTATTTGCCAAACTATGAAGCCAAGATGATTTATGTATATTTTCCATCCAAGAATGTAATCTGTCGTTGAGTCATATGTGTCACAGTGATGCTATGGTATTTCTTCCCTTCTCTAGATGCCGTTAGGAAGGTGTTCTTACTGCTGGCTCAGAGCAGCTTCACTGGATTTCCTAACCTCCTGAAATCAGCTAAGGTATACAGTATATCATTTTTTTAATGCCATTTGGCAGACACTTTTATCAAAAGCGACTTACAGTCATGTGTGCATACATTTTTACGTATGGGTGGTCCCGGGGATCGAACCCACTACCCTAGCGTTACAACCGCCATGCTCTACCAATTGAGCTACAGAGGACCATGCAATATTAATGTCACCATTTATCCCTGATATTCCCACAGTTGGTCATTGACCTGTATGTGAATGAGATGGCTGACATGCACAACTACATTTATCTCCTGTTGAATGATTGTTGTTTGTTTGAACTACAGACAAAGATTGAGGCCATTAAGCAGGTGAATGAGTCTACAGCTGAGTCCATGTTGAGGACTCAGTTCAAGATGGAGCTGATAGTGTACACACAGGACAGCACCTACAGCCACAGCCTGAGTGAGAGGAAGAGGGAGGAGGAAGAGGAAGAGGACGATGACCTTCCCATACCTGAGATAAGGAGTACTATCTTCAGCACAGACAACCATGCCACCCTACAGGAGATGATGCTGCACCTCAAGTCCTATTACTGGGTAAGTACTGTGTAAATCACCATCTTGGCCTAACACCCTAAACAAGAACCTACCTGTATTTCCACTAGCTCTTCTGACTAGGGATAAGAGGGCACTAACTCAGAGATTGAATAAAACTGCTGACTCTTTAATTTATTTATTCACCAATTCCCTGAAAGCTAGATTATATAATTGCATGTAAATGTGCTATAACATTATACAATTCAGTGTGTGTGAACCAACCATTGTTAGGGGCCTAAACCTTGAATGGGACAAAAGTGATGGTAGATCACTATATCCATCTATATCTGTCATTTTAATAATAGGTGTTTTGTCTTGTCTGTCTCTTTATCTTTGCCAGATTGCCAGTCAGCGTCTGGCTGATCAGATTCCCATGGTGATCCGTTACCTGGTGTTGCAGGAGTCTGCTTTCCAGCTGCAGAGAGAGATGCATCAGATGCTGCAGGAGAAGAGCAACATCGAGTACCTGCTGAAGGAGGACTTTGACATCGGCAGCAAGAGGGCTGCACTGCAGAGTAAGCTCAAACGCCTGATGAAGGCACGCAGCTACCTAGTGGAGTTCTAGTATGGACAGCTGCTTGTTAACATTTAGGATGGCCTTGTCTAATGTCAGATAGCTTGGTTAATGGAAGTAGGCCTACGTGTGCTTTGCATTGAGGTTTGGGGTAGACTGTAATCTAAGTTATAATAAAGTTACTATGCAATCAAGTTCTTTGTTATCGTTTTTTTGTTTATAATATTAAACTCAAATGCCTTATGAAGGCAAGCAGTTAGCCTACCTGGTGGAGTGGAAAGCTGCCTGATAGAATTTGGGAACAGAGAAGGAAGTGCAATAATTTTTATAATAGGCAATGTATCATTTATTTTGGATATTTTCACTTGTGCTTTATATTTCTCTAAACAGTGCTTGACTTGGGGACAGCTCCGTACCTGCACTTCTTATTTTTGGGGAATTGCATTCCGCCTATCGCCGGCCCAGATTCACACACTGAGGCAAAAAAGGTAGATGAAAGCGGAATGAAGGTGGGATCTGCATTGAATAGCATTAATTTCCTGATTCCGCATTGTTCAAGTTTATTTGCCGCTAGTCTGTGAATTTAGCCCCAGACTATCATGTGCCAGCTGTCTAGTCTGTGTTTTATTAAATTGCAATGAGTATAAAAATAAACATTTATACCAGGAATTGGCAACTTGTTCTCATTCTGAGAAATAAGCGTCTTCTTAACCAGGTAGGCCATTTTATTTCAGTATCTTAACAAAGTGAACAGGCTACTGTTCAAACAGTTGGATACTGACAGGAGGGTGTATTCATAACAGTTCAACTGTTCTAACTTGTTAGCAAGCAAATACAGTGCATTTGGAAAGTATTCAGACCCCTTGACTTTTTCCACATTTTGTTACGTTATAGCCTTATTCTAAAATGGATGAAATAGTTTTTTTCCTGCATCAATCTACACACAATACCCCATAATGACAAAGCAAAAACAGGTTTTTATAAATGTTTGCAAATGTATTACAAATAAACTGAAATATCACATATGAAGCACCTTTGGCATCGATTACAACCTTGAGTCTTCTTGTGTATGATGCTATAAGCTGGGCACACCTGTATTTGGGGAGTTTCTCCCATTCTTCTCTGCAGATCCTCTCAAGTTCTGTCAGGTTGGATGGGGAGCGTCGCTGCACAGGTATTTTCAGGTCTCTCTAGAGATGTTCGATCGGGTTCAAGTCCGGGCTCTGGCTAGGCCACTCAAGGACATTCAGAGACTTGTCCCTTAGACACTCCTGCGTTGTCTTGGCTGTGTGCTTAGGGTCGTTGTCCTGTTAGAAGATGAACCTTTGCCCCAGTCTGAAGTCCTGAGCGCTCTGGAGCAGGTTTTCATCAAGGATCTCTCTGTACTTTGCTCCGTTCATCTTTCCCTCAATCCTGACTGGTCTCCCAGTCCCTGCTGCTGAAAAACATCCCCACAGCATGATGCTGCCACCACCATGATTCACCGTAGGGATGGTATTTTCCAGGTGATGAGCTTTGCCTGGTTTCCTCCAGACGTGACACTTGGCATTCAGGCCAAAGAGTTCAATCTTGGTTTCATCAGACTAGAGAACCTTGTTTCTCATGGTCTGAGAGTCCTTTTGGTGCCTTTTGGGAAACTCCAAGCGAACTGTCATGCCTTATACTGAGGAGTGGCTTTCATCTGGCCACTCTACCATGAAGGCCTGATTGCAGAGATGGTGGTCCTTCTGGAAGGTTCTCCCATCTCCACAGAGGAACTCTGGAGCTCTGTCAGAGTGACCATCGGGTTCTTGGTCACCTTCCTGACCAAGGCCCTTCTCCCCCGATTGCTCAGTTTGGCCGGGTGGCCAGCTCTAGGAAGAGTCTTGGTGGTTCCAAACTTCTCCCATTTAAGAATGATGAAGGCCACTGTGTGCTTGGGGACCTTCAATGCTGTAGACATTTGTTGGTACCCTTCCCCAGATCTGTGCCTCGACACAATCCTGTCTCGGAGCTCTACGGACAATTCGTTCGACCTCATGGCTTGGTTTTTGCTCTGACATGCACTGTAAACTGTGGGACCTTATATAGACAGGTGTGTGCCTTTCCAAATCATGTCCAATCAATTTAATTTACCACAGGCGGACTAAAATCAAGTTGTAGAAACTTCGCAAGGATGATCAATGGAAACAGGATGCACCTGAGCTCTATTTCGAGTCTCATAGCGAAGGGTCTGAATACTTATGTAAATAAGGTAATTGTTTTTTGTTTGTTTTTATTCTGCAAAAAATTCTAAAAACCTGTTCACTTTTTCATTATGGGATTTGTGTGTAGATTGAGGAAAATGTTTTTATTTAATCCATTTTAGAATAAGGCTGTAACGTGGAAAAAGTGAAGGGGACTGAATACTTTCCGAATGCACTGTAGATCCAAGTTGGCTGACTTTAAACATTTAAGCTTAGCTGTCTACTCACTAGCATTTATGCTTGAGATTGTTTATTTTACATTTACATCATTTAGCAAACGCTCTCATCCAGAGCGACTTACAGTTTAGTGAGTGCACACATTTTTTTTGTTCATACTGGCCCCCCGTGGGAAACGAACCCACAACCCTGGCGTTGCAAGCGCCATGCGCTACCAACTGAGCTACACGGGGGTTTATGAGACCTGAGGTAATTTTCTATAATACCTGCTACAAGAAGTTGGTCATTATTAGTGGATGTGCATGGTTCTGGTAACATTTGTAACAAAAATTGCATTTTCATAGACTTGAAAGCCAGATCAGTGATCATTGCAAAAAAGCAGGTTGAACTGTTTTGCTAAAATAATACAATTATTAGTGGCTGTTATGGTTGTGGAAGGGTTATATTAAGCCTAGGTATAATACATGCAGTGTATTGACCTTTAATTGTGCAACAACACTTTTTGATTTACAGTATATTGTGAATTGCCCATAAGTTTGAAAACATCAAGATATGTTTTTTAAGCTATATCGACCAGCCCTAACCTAAAGTCATGAAATTCGGTACATTGGTCCCTCTCCTCACAAGGAACAAATTTGCCTTTGGGACCCATAAGGTCGACCATGATGGATTATCCGCCATTTAGAATTTTTTGATAAACGCTGTTCTTCTGGCAGCGAATGACCGAGTTGCCCGAAACTTGATATGTGGCATCTATGGACAAAGGTCTCTTAACGCAATATTTTCCAATATTTTCCAGATATTTTATGTATCATTAAGGCAAATGTAGGGAGATGCCAAAGGTAAAATATAATAAACATGTTTGATATTTTATAATCCAGATGCATGCTTAAATAAGGAATATAGCCAATGCAGTATGTAACTGTGCTTTAATGAATGTATGTATATTATTTTTTAAGAAAGTGCCTGAACCATGCCACCAATTTAATGAGAGGTTTCATATAGAAAAGCATTCATGACCTTTTGGAGTGGACCATGTGTGACAGCTGGACGTTGAAAGATAAGGGTGGCGCAGAACTAAAATAAGTTAGGAATTTGCCATAAGGGGAGTAACTGTATATGCTATGTCGGCATGACTGTGCATTTGTGTGTGTATAAAAGGGATCTCTAAGCCAAAGAGAGACAGGTGTTCCATGGAGCAGCTCGGCTTTGTTACGCAAATAATAAGGTCTAATTTTTGGATTCACAAGCTCCAGTTTCTTGAGAGAGATTTTTGAGTTGACTACTTTTGAGTCAAATATTTCTACCACATAAATGGCGAGCGTTGCCAGGAGTTGAAAACAGGGACCAGAGACGGTGGACATCTGCAGTTGTGAAACGGCTCGGACGGACCATACAAACAAAAGCGGCCGCTTAAAAAAAAGGTAAGCCAAGTTCTTACTTATATAGTATAAAGTTTGTGTGGTTCAATCCAGGGCCCGGCCTCAGCTGCAGAATACCAAGTAGGTCTCTCCAAATTTAGGAACCAGAAAATTAGAGACTGGGAGCTTTTGGTTTTAAAATGCACGTTAAATGATGAAAAGCCTCAAGGGTTGCAATAAGTAGAAAATAGTAAGTAAAAGTAAAAGTAGATCTGCTCAGTCCGAGTAGGTGGATGCTCTGCTTGGGTTGGTGTGGTTCAGTCATTGTGGTTGAGTGGGGTGGGTTATCTGTCTCGTTTGAGTTGATCATTTGGTCAGTATGATTGCATCTGTTTGACTAAACCGACCGTTTTGTCTGACGCGTCTTGTACTCGTCGATGTCACTCGGTTGTTCGTCTGAACCGTTTGTTCAAATCTTTTGATTCATTTATTCGTCCTGCTGGTCATTCTGTTTAATCCATTGTGATTTGATTGGTTGTGATCAAGTTGGATGATTCATCTGTCTCATTCAGGTTGCTCATCTGGACAGTCTGATCAATCTGTTTGATTCGATTGCTCAATTCGTGCATTCAATCATCGGGGTCACTCGGCTGCTCATCTGATGCGTCTGTTCGATTCAGTCGATTCATTTGATTCATCTTGCTGATCACTTTGTCTGGGTCATTTCGGCACGGGCGGCTGTCCATCTGGTTGAACGATCAGAGAATAAATTAGTAGAAGCCCTACAGATACCGCTCTAAACGTGTCGGGGAAGTGAATCGTTTTGAGGACTGCTTAGGTAGGCGAAATCCTGTATAATACCGCTTTTTCTCTGTGTCGAGGAAGTGAATCAGAGAAAAAGGGCAGAATTTACAGGTCGCTTAGGAAAGCGTAGGATAGGTAGAAGTCCAGTTAAGGTGTGTCGAGAAAGTGAATCACCTAGGGGGCTATATAAATAGAAATCCTGTATAAAACTGTTTTTCTTGTGTTGAGAAAGTGTATCAAGAAGGAGTTAAGTTTACAGGTAACTTAGACAAGTGCGTGAAAGAGTGAGAGTGCAAGTAAGTGTGAAAATCTCTGTATTGGTGGAGAAAGGTTGGCACACCTTTCCTGGACCGTTGCTTAAGTGTAACCTGGTAGGAAGGACGCACCCGGTCTCACACCAGGAGAGAAAGAATGAATGGTGTGTGGATGCTCATAGGGGTAGAAACACACATACAGTGGGGGAAAAAAGTATTTAGTCAGCCACCAATTGTGCAAGTTCTCCCACTTAAAAAGATGAGAGAGGCCTGTAATTTTCATCACAGGTACACGTCAACTATGACAGACAAACTGAGAAAAAAAAATCCAGAAAATCACATTGTAGGATTTTTTATGAATTTATTTGCAA